ACCCGATTTATTGGTACCCATGAGGGTGTGCGATTTACATCTGATTCTGCCCCATCGCTTACTCTAAATCCACCGACCCTGTCGGCGTGTGGAAAACGCTGCTCTGTTTGACTCGGTGACGTCGTCGTTGTCTTCGTCGTCGTCGTCATTTTCCATGGGGCCATCGCCGCTCCCCCCCTTCGATTGCGCCCTCCTCCCAAAGCGATCCAGCCAAACTGAAATTGAACAACGTCGTCGCAGTTGAGTCGTAGGGAAGCCCCTTTTTTTTGATCTCTCCCCCCCTGGGGGGGAGGGGGGGTTCTGAAAGGGTCGGGGGGGGGTCCTGGGGGCGGTCACGGGGGGAGGTCCTGGGAGAGGTCCTGGGGGCTTGGGTTCCAGGGAGGCGGTCCTGGGGGTGGTCCCAGAAGGGGGTCCTGGGAGGGGGGGGGGCCCCGGGTCAAAATACCATTCTCCCCCGGAGTGTCCTGGGGCCGGAAAAAAGCTCAAGACAGTTCAAGAGATCCCCGAGACGGTTCAAGAGGGCCCCGAATCGCCGAACAGTCGGCCCAAGACGCTAGAGATGGCCTCCTGACGGCCCAAGCGGTTTCTAAGACGCCCGAAGGTCCAAGAGCACACCAAGAGGGCCCCAGCAGACAAAATTACATGATTTTCTGCTGCGTGTTCGAAGGATTCTGGCGTTTTCGTCTTCTCGGCTTCCCGATGCCCCAAGATGGCCCAACATGCTACCAAGATCGGCACTAGAAGCCCCCATTTGATCTCCAAGACGGCCCCCAAACGACCCACGAGCCCCCAAAACGGCCCTCGAGGCCTCCCAAGCGGCCCAAGAGGCCTCCAAAACGGCTTCAAGAGGGTGCCCACACGGGAGCTCGGATGAACATTGCGAACCCTCGGCCACGAGAAGCTCCCAGGAGGCCCCAACAGGCCCCCCCAAAGGCTCCCACGAGGCCACCAGAGGCCCCCAAGAGGCCCCCGGGAAGCCCGAAGGGACCCCCAAGAGGCCCACAAGCGGCCCCCTGGATGCTCCCAAGAGGCCCCCTAACTGCTCCTCAGAGGCCCACGAGCGCGCTCCGAAGAGGCCCACGAAGCATCACTGACGACCCGGCCCCACGTCAACGTCGTCGTCGCCGCCGACGTCGCCGTCGCGGTCGCTTGATGGGCTTGTTTCCCACCACCACCACCAGAAGTTGGAGGAGGGAAGGAGGTAGAGGACGAGGAGGAAGAGGACGTGGACGAGGAGGAGGAGAAGGACCCCCTCCCCCTCCAACTGATGGTGGTGGCGGTGGAAAACAGGCCCATCAGTCGTTGTCTCTGTTCAAAATCGGCAACACCCGCCGCAAGGCCTTTCCAATATGAGCCCATACCATCCCAGCCAAGCCTGGTTCGACACCCCCCACCATCCTCGTTAAGTAGTTTATGCGCGCACTCGTTGCGCATCAAACATAAATTTGCAAACGTCCCTTGCCAACCACGTGGACGAAATGCGCACGCGCGCGCCGTCGCGCGCTTGCACGAATCAGAAAAAAATAAAAACGTGTGTTTGTATGGCTTTCAATAAAGAGCGTCCCGAAAACATGCAACACCACAAGCTCGTGTTGCAAACTGGCTGTTGTTTGAAAGACGCCGCGCTTCTGCGAATTCGTACGCAAGCAGAACTTGATCCCAACCGCGTCCATCACATGCGGCCCGACAGGCCTCTCGCGCGCGCGTCGGAATCATTCGCACGCCCGTGTGCGCGTTCTGGCGGGGGGACACGTCGCCACGGCATCACGCCCGCCCGGGTCACCGACTCGCGCTGACGTGCCCGCGCGTCAGCGTGGCCTGCGGAACGCGCTGCGAGGTCCCTAACGGTCAGCGCCACCGCGGCCGCGTCGGTCGCGCCAGAGTAGCTGATCGTTCTGCGCGCGAGCTACGCGCGCTGGCGCGGCCGCAACGATGCGCCAGCCAGCGCCAAGCAGTCATCGCAATCGCCGCCGCATGGGGTGGGTGGATGATTGCGGGTGGGATGATTGCGCGAGCACTGGAATTGACAATTCAAAGTTCGGCAGGGTGAACCAACTCTCTGTTAACAAAGGAATTGGGATCTATCCCCTTTGGATTCTGTGTGCACTCTGGGGGGTGAAATCTACACTCTGCCCCACCACCCATTCTAAATGGGAGCTCCTACCATTCTAGCTAGGGTGTTCTGCCCCTCACCTCTTGCACATACGAATAATAATCGAACTATTAAAAATATGATTGCACATAATGATAATGATATGCGAGCTTGTCGATCACAGGCGCTACACTGCATATATGAATGCGCATACGCTGCGCCAAGTAGATCGCACCACATACATTGCACCACATATATTGCACGACGTAGATTGCACCGCATGCAATGTTCTGCCCAATATGCCAGAGTAACACGGTTTCAAGCAAACGTTGGCTTAAAGATGTAGGCACATCTAAACATACACATATGTCGGATCCCCCGTGGTCTCCTGCCCCTTGTCTGTCGAGACATGGTTCATACGTGCTGCTGTATGTGCGAATGGGGTGCCCACGGAGTCAACACATAGAATGCGTCTTGCGTCCTCCGCCAACCTGCATCGATATTCCCAAGACCCCAGAGGCCTCCAGGTGGCCCCTAAGAAAGACCGAATAGCTCAAGACGGTCTGGGGAGGTGGGTCACATACGAAGACGCCCCGCACCTATTTCAATCACCCCTGAAAGGTCCCCCACTGACACCAATAACTGGCAGCCGACACATTGAGACACCTCCGATTTCCTCATGCGTTTTGCAAATGTTGCCAGTCGCCTGCTTGATTTCCAGAATATCCCAAGCGGACATCAAGACGGCCCTACGATCGGCAGAAACCCCACGAATCTCAGAATATTGCCCACGATGGCCGAATGTGTTTCCAATGCTGCTGGAACGAAATTGCGCCAATATGCCCCACACAAGGCCCCAGGAGGGCGCCCAAGCCCCAAGATCGCCGAAAAAGTATCTCCAAGAGGCACTTCAGAGGCCTCAAAGTGGCCACACATGGCTCCGAGAGTGCTCCCAGACGAGGGGAGGTGATGCAGGAGAAGAGTGGAGAGAACGAGTGAGAAGAAGGGGGATGATGCCTGCACATGGTTGACATGCGATGGGATACGTGACCAGCGTCGTGATAAATAAGAGTCGCCCACGCAAGGTACTGAACGTAGGATACAAACAGACGAGGGGTTGGCCTTTGCGACGTGACGCGGTCCGCAGCTGCTGTTACAGTTCAGGCTCAGGCCAATAACGCCCCACGCTCGTATTGGAGAACCCGCCACCGTGCGCGCGGCACGTTGCGGCGTATAAGAATGCCAAGCGCTGCCTGGCAACGTCTCCGTCATCTTCGCAGGGGCCTCTCCAGCCCCCCGGTCACGGAGCGGGGGCTGCACCGCCCCTTCTCCTGGGGGTCTCTGGGCGGCCATGGCCTCTCCCTGGGGCTCTCCAGGGCTTCATGACGGCCCAGGAGGCCCCCAAGACGGCCCAAGAGGGCCCCGAGTCGCCGAACGATCGCTCGAAGACGCCAAAGGTGGGACATGTCCCACAAGGCTTCCAAGACGCCCGAAGAGGCCTCCAAGAGACCTCCCAAGAGGCCCCAAGAGGCAAAACTCCATAATTTTCCCTTGGATGCTGATGAAAGATTTCAGCGTTCCCGCTGTTTCGGCTTTCGGACGCCCGCGTTCCCGCCGTTTCGGCCTATGAGCGCCGCAAGACGGCTCAAGAGGCGCGCAAGACGCCCCAAGAGGGCCCGTCCAAGAGAGGGAACAGGAACCGAAAATCCGAGCCTCCTGCCCCAAGGAGCCCCCAGGAGGCCGCAAGAGGCGCCCAAGAGGCCCGAAGAGGCCCCAAAGAGGCCCCAAAGGCCACCCAAGAGACCCGAGAGAGGCCCTAAGAGGCTCCAAAACGGCCCCCAGGAGGCCTCGAAACTGCCTCCGAGAGGCCCCAAGAGGCCTCCCACGAGATCTCAACGAATCTCTAATAGGCTGCATACCCACCACCCTGGCACGGTGGCGTGACTTGCCGTAGGCAGCTGGATGGTAAAGCTCATCGCAACACCGACGAATACGACCTCTGGACTACAGTCATCGGCCTGACCTAAGGAACGATAAACAAGGAACGAAGCCCCTTTTTATTCCAAGGAATAACGCATAAGGAACGACACATTATACATCACGCATATTGCACTGAAAATAACGCATGCAAACCTAAGTAACGACCGAGCCCCTTCTGAAAAGTAAGTGTTCCTTATTCAAGCCGCTCACTGTATGCCATATTGGACATCTCAGTGGCCTGCGGAACCCGTGGAGCCGACCACCGAGGAATCCAGAGCAGTTAGGCACTCCCTGCGCCCCGCCTCACCAGCTCCAGCAACGCTCTGCCAGTGCCGGCCTGCGAACTCACCAGTCAGGATACGCGGCCGAACTCTCACGCCAAAAACCTGACGCCCAGGCTGGGCCAATCGCGACGACCCTGGCGATCCAACACGCCAAATGCCACGTTGGCAGCCCATACCTGTGAGCTCTTCATGGCAGCGCGGGAGAAGCGGGTCCTCGGGGAAGCAGCTCCTCGACCCTGGGGCCCTCCCCGGGAGGAGATCCTGACCCCGAGCCGTTCTCCGACTCTCCTGGGGCCCATGGAAGGCCCCGAGAGCCCGACGAGCGGCGAAGAGCCTCAGGACCCGTGTCCCCATGGCGAGCATGAGCCAGAACGTTGCACGGCGTACAGGGCAGTTGTTAATACATAGGATGTTTAGAAATATAGGATGTGAATGCATGACTAACTTAGGAATAGACTTATGCATGAACTCATCGTTGTTTTTAATACTAAATCCATGCGTGTTTAATACACGATCGGCACGCGGAGCATGTACTAAAAACGGCACTGTACTGGCCACAAGCTGCCCTTCGGCCCTCCCGAGCTTCGAGCGACACGCTCCTCACAGCAACAGAAATGGGAAGCCGCCGGCGCGGGGGAGGTCGCCTGCAAGCTTGACGAGGGCGACATGTTCGAGGTCGGCGGCGGCGTGACCGATCTGTGGGCAGCCAGCCTCAGCCAGACGAAGGGGAGGGATGCGGGGCATTGGGAGGAAGAGTGGAATACGGAGACAGGGGAAGAGACAGCTGATGAGCAAGGTGCGACGCGAAGACAAACGGGGAGGCAAGAAAGAGGAGGCGAGGAGAACGGACGAAATCATCCTGCATGGCGCTACGAAAGGGAGAGAGAAAGAGTCTTGGACACACATGGGTACACAACATGTGCTATAAAGCCTTGGCCTTGGTCGCACGTGCAGACGCCAGGGCAAAAAGGAGACAGGGACAGACGGGAGACGAGAAGGAGAAACAACTTGAGGAGCGACGATAATGAGGTAAAGCGAAGAGGAGGAGGATGAGGAGGAGGAGGAAGAGGAGGAGGAGGAGGAGGAGGAGGAGGAGGAGGAGAGGAGGAGGAGGAGGAGAGAGCAGGCAACATGATGATAATCTTGATGGCAGAAAGAGGAAAAAGTATGAAGGACAAGATTGGAGAAACGCGCGAAGGGAAGAGGGTGAGGAGATGGCAATGTCAGAAGAGAAAGGAACCGACTGGGGAGGAGACCGAGCAATTCCACGCGGGACGAAACCCTCGCAAATTGGAAACGAAGATGACGAACATAAGGAGGATGAGGATGAGGGAGACGAGGTGCAAGAGGATGCGGACGAGAGGAGGCCGGGTTCGAGCGATGAGCGGGGAGGGAGGCGAGGAACTGGAATGGAACGGGGAGGAAGGACAAGACGCGGAAGGAGCAGGAGTATGGAGCAGCAGCGCCGGTCTGGGGGGCAGACCCGGCCATCTCGTGCAGAAAGTTGGCGGGCCCTGACACCACCGAGTGGCAGCCGCCCTGGGCTGGCGCTGCGGCGCGCGTGCGCTGGTAGCCGCCTGTTTGCCCCCCCCCCCCCCCTCTCCCTCCCCCGCGTCTCCGTGCACGCCAAGGTGCCACTTCCCCATCAGCATCAGCATCAGCATCATCATCATCACCCTCCTCCTCCTCCTCCTCTTCCTCCACCTCCTCCTCATCAGCATTAGCATCAGCATCATCATCATCCTCATCATCGTCATGACCAACATCATCGTCAACAGCATCAGCATCCGCATCATCGTCATCAGCAGCATCACCATCAGCAACATCGCCATCATCATCATAATCATCATCATAATTATCAGCATCAGCATCAGCATCATCATCATCATCACCATCATCATCAGCGGGCGGGGGGAATTGCATGGTAAGCTTGTCCGCCGTTCGCGCGCGTTCCAGACCGGATTGACCCCCTGCGCGCTGCCATGGGTCAGAGGAGAAACAGAGACCACCGCCACAGAGAAGCCATCTGAGGGTGGGCGACGCCTGTGCGGGCCCCAGCGTCGGGGGCGCGCAAACATGGATGAGCGATCCATGTGCTTGGCGCGCGGTCGCCAACTCCAACGGAGGTACCCTCCCCAAAATGCGGCCGGTGCTGCCTCGCTCGGCGGCGGGAATCTGTGTGTCCCGTGGAAGCGGGACCCGCCGCTAATGCACGCCCCCCTGATCCATGCCAGCGATCGCCTGACATCTAAATCTACCACCACCACATCCACCACCCCTCCTTCCTCCAACCTCATCTTCGGCGCCGCTTCCCTGGGAGAGGGAGGGGACGAGGGGGGCGGTGGTGGCGTTCACCCTGGGGCCCCCGACCCTGGGCGGTGGCACGCCTGAGCGTCCTCCAGGGCCAGGGGACGTTCAGGCGTGCAACCGCCCAAGGGGCGTGCTCCCCGCCCGGTGGGATCCCGGTGGTGGTGGTGGTGGTGGTGGTGGTGGTGGTGGTGGTGGTGGTGGTGGTGGTCGATGCTTCACCTCGCTAGAGAAACTCGTTTTGTAATGTTGCCGCTTACTTTTAGGTCACCAGAAAGAGCGTCGAACACCAAGGAAGCACCGAAGTCTGCAGGGCTTTCACGTGTCGGGCCCTGGGAGGCGATACTCGTTCGACACTGTTTCGATGCTCTTCGGGGTGCTCGAAATTATTTCTGGGATGTGGTCCTTAAGTGCGATGGGAGCAACATAAGGATACTCCCTCCAGCCGCCCTGGGACTGGCGCCCCCCGCGGCGGAGGACGCCGCTCTCCGCCGCTGCTTCCACGCCCTGGCCCGCGCCCTCTGAAAGCAGGAGCTCGCCCGCCTCGGCCGCTCCGCGACGCCGCGCCGGGCTGGCCGCCGCGCACGGGCGATCATAGATCCGCCACCGTGCCCCTGGGGCACGGGTCGAACTGCTGTCCGGCAGCGGTTGCAAAGAGGTGGGCGCGCTGGTGGCCTTGCCTCTGCCGGCGCGGCAGTGGCGCGTGGCCCTTCACGAATGAAGCAATTTCGCCGAGAGAGGCTGCCGCGGCCAGGCCCGGCCACGAGCAGCCGGCCAGGCAGGCGGCAGGCGGCCGCCGGCCAGGTCCAGCCAGCCGCAGAAGAAGCGGGGAAGAGGGAAGCAGGGAGGGGAAGGCGCCGCCAGGCCCTTTGCCGAAGCCCTCTTACGCCTCAGCCCGCAAGCCTGAGAGTTATTCTCTTGCAAGGCGCGGGCCGCACATGGCCAGATCGCTCGGGGTTCCCGTCGCGCCCCCCCGGGGCTCCCGCCGTGCCGCCGGGGCCGCGGCGTGAACCTTCTGCAGGACTGGGTCGGGCCCAAAAGGGCCCCGAGACTGGCAAAGACGGTCCCAAGAGGCTCCCAATACTTTCTTCTCTGGCCAGTCATGTCCCTGGCGTCCTGGGCCGTGTCCCCGCGGCATTCTGGGCCGATTTGTCCCGGGCGTCCCGGGCTGGTGTCCTGGGCCGGTGTCCCGGGCGTCCCGGGCCAACACCAACGGCACCAACGAGGTGAAGGCCGAGTCTGTGGCCGAGTCTGGGGCCGGGTCCGGGAAGGGGTGGTGCGATCTCTGTTATGCTATCTTTGTGGTGCGATCTGTGTGGCGCACTCGGTGTGGTGCAATCCAGGTCGGGAGATAGGCCCCCGCAATCCGCGAAACCAGCCTAGTGATACGAACCTTCGCGCCGCAACGTGCACTTACGAAACCAGCGTGGTTTCATGCAAGTGTACGTCATTTATTCGCTCCTGGGGGAGGAGCAGCAGGATACATCATTACCCACTAGCGGCTCCTCCTTGGGCCGTCCACAGGCTACGCCGACTATGTCGCGGGAGAATCACAGGGCTATCACAGGAACGGCGACCGGGGCGCCGAAGGAAGCAGCCCGCCCTGGCCATAGACATCCCAACCACCTGGGCGCCAACGGGCCCGTGATATGTGCCCCCCTGGCGACGCCTCCTTTGGGGTGCCGAGTGTTCCGCCTGGTACGTCGGGCACTTCGTAAAGTGAGTCCGAGTGCGGCTGTGGCTGAGCGCGAGTGTGAGTGATGCCACACCTGCTGGTCAGGCGTAAGCTCGTCGAAGTGTCAGTTGGTCTGTGTCTGCGTGAACATGAATATGATGACTAAGCTGGGTATGGGATCATCTGAGTATGCGTGGTCTGTCTGTGAGTAGGTGTCAGTGTAAGTGGATTCGGTGTGAACGGCCCTGGTCATCCATTAATGTAAGCATGAGCGTGCTTGTGTGTATCCTGTATGAGTGCGAGGGAGATAGATGCGTGAGGGTGAACATCGCTGTGAGCGGCGAACGACAGAGTACGAAGAGGGAACACGGAGGATGAGCCAGAGGCGTCGCACTAATAAGAAGAACCCATCTTAGGCGATGGACAACAAAACGCTGTCGCTACTCCCTGGACCTCAGGGGTGCGTTCTGACCAGGGTCTCGACGCGAATCTGGCCGCGGCCGCGAGGGAGGGGTAGCGGCATCGGAAATATTCCTCCTCTGAATTCCTTCTCCTCCTCTCCCCCCTCTGGCTATTTTGCGTGAGGCAGCAGGTTCTCTTGTCCTAAGAGCGTGGTCCCACTCTTTGCCTCGGTCAGGGGCACCACGCCAGCTTCACACCAGGACCGCCGTTGCCGCCGTGTCGCTGTCTCCGCTGTGCACTCTCGCCCTGTCTGAAGCTGCTCTTTCCCTGCGCTCGCTTGCTTGGTGCCCGCGCGCAAATGTTCGAAGTCTGACATGTCATCCCAGTTGCAGCGCCGCGCCCTGCTGACAGGCGTTCGGCCTCAGCCGCGTCGCAAGCCAAACAAGAAGTCCTCCTGCCCCTTGGACCACAAACAGCACTAGAGGCCTCCTAGATGGGGTCCGAGTATATGAGGTCGGAGGATCTCGCCGCATCCCTGATACATCCGCGATGCATCGCCGATGCATCGGCGATGCATCGGCCATGCACTGGCGACATCGGTGATACATCCGCAACGTCGGCATGAAGAAAACTGGGCCCCTCATCGAGCCGAATCGCCGATGCATCGCCGATGCATCGGCGATGCTGCGCGATCCTCCGACCCCATCTACTCCGACCCCATCTAGGAGGCCTAGAGGCACTCCGCTGGCTGCGCTCCTGGGGCGGCGTGGTGGTGCGTGCTGCCGCGCCGCAGCCGCCGTCGAAGCCAGACCCGACCACGCCTCGGCGGGGCCGGGCGAGCGCTTCCGCACATCCGCTGGCCATCGCTCGGACGTCCATTTCCTGTGTCTTTTTTTGGTTTCGTGCGTGGTTTTTTCGCCAAATGATCAAGGATGCTTCTCGATGGTCCTCGCCGAAGGAAAAATGCACACGTCGGAACGATGCCATGTCCGTTCCTGCGCCCGCGCCCCCCCCGGCCACCCGCACCCCCCTGATGGGCATGTCTTCCACCACCAACACCACCATCAGTTGGAGGGGGAGGGGGTCCTCCTCCTCCTCCTCCTCCTCCTCCTCCTCCTCCTCCTGCTCTTTCTCCTCCTTCACCTCCTCCTCCTCCTCCTCCTCCTCCTCCTCCTGCACCTCCTCCTCCTCCTCCTCCTCGTCCTCCTCCTCATCCTCCTTCCCCCCTCCAACTTCTTCTGGTGGTGGTGGTGGTGGAAAACAGGCCCATCACCCCCAGTTCCGCGCGGCCCCTCTCCGCCAGCTCTGCCAGCGCCCCATAAACTTGTGTTCCTGTTGGCGGCGGGGCAGTGGCAGCCCGCTCCAGCGTGTGGCTACTCGGGGGGCAACTGATAGGCGCATCGTCTGGCGTGCAGGAGGGAGGAAACAAGACGAGGGCGGCCGCGCGAGCGCCCCATAAACAAGAGGAGCGTGGATTCGATTCGTGGAGCGCAGGAGGTGCATGCATGCATGCCTGTGCATGGGATATACACATATGTGTACATATGTGTATCTGTACACATGACAAAAACGAAGGGGAGAGTAAGAAGAGAGAGAGAGAGAGAGAGAACACAAAGAGAGAGAGAGAGAGAGAGAGAGAACGAGAGAGCGAGAAAGAGTCAGAGAAGGAGTCGAGTGCGAACGAAAAAGGGAGAGAGAGAGAGAGAGAGAAAGACACATAAAGAGAGAGAGAGAGAGGGAGAGAGAGTGAGAGAGAGCGCGCGCGCAACATACATGTAATTTATATGCTTCCGAAATATGAATTTATTTACTTACTCAACCACGCACGATTCGCGCGCGTTGCTGTTTTACTGTGGAAAGCTGGCAGCAGATGCCTCCTGGCACTGTCAGTTCACAAGTGGGGGAAAGAGTAGAGAGACGAGCACACAGAAGACGCGGATGAGGTGGACGGGATACCTTCTTTGGCCATCGCAGCGACAACGACGGTATCTGGCAGGAAGGCCGATGCATCGAGCACGGCTCGCTCTTTCGACGGGTTTGTCTGTCTTCACACACCCAAGGAACTCTAGCATGTTTGCCGTGTTGAAGGGGGGCAGCGAATATCGGACCTTGGCGCCCGACTCCACCACTGGCGACAAACAACTCTGCCTTCTGTCGTTGTGGCCTGGCCTTCTCCTGTGAGCAACACCGTGAGTGCACACCCACATTCGGGCCGAGGCCAGAATGACATACACTCCATCGGCCAAAACGAACCGAACGTCCAAGGGTACTCTCCCCAGGGCGCAAAAGAACATCCAACAACACACGACGAACAATAGGGTACCCTCCCCGAACCGACCTCGATCTTGTACCTGGGTCCGACTGTACTCCCCACCCAAGGAAGGGGAGAGGGAGGGGAAGGACAGGAAATAAGGGAAGGGGGCAAGACAGAAGTCTCCGGCGACCCTACTCGTTCGATCCCACAACTCCCCTAGACCCCTCCCCAAGGACCTGCTTGCTGATTCGGCTTTGACAACACAGGGGCCCTGACATGGCCCCGGGCCGCGCAGAATGTTCGAGCCGCCGGACGTCCGGTGAGGAGAGGCGGACGGGGCAACAATGCTTTTCTGCTGCCCATCTCTGCTCCCGCCAAGCCCACCTCCGTATTCTGGGAGAGCGGCGTCATCTTCCCGAAAGCGTGGGGCAACCGGGCGGTGCCCAAAGCAAAAGCACGGACAACCTGTGCAAGCGCTTGGAGTGGAGGCCGCCCGCAGGCCAATCCTCTTAAGCACATTAGTTCGGGCGGATGTGCTTTCGTGTGGGTTACCGACCGCCTACGCATCATGGACGAGCTGGAGTGTGACCCACATGGTTCGTGCCATGTGGAACAATGCTCAAGAAAAGAATTCCCAGGCAAGCAGGGACAAGCTGTGATTGTGACAAAATCTGAGTCAACCTGGGGCCACCACACCTGATGCTGTGGTCAGTCTTTATGCTGCAGGCAAGATCAACAAAGACTAAAGACACTACACATTTAATGCTGGCGAGAGGCTAAAGCGTAGAACGAACTTTTCAGATACACTGATCGGACTGATGTGGCTCAATGGATCCAATTCGAGCTGCACGCGTGGTGGCTTGCTGAGAACGGGCAAACAAGATCGTGCGTATACGTTTAGGTCGTCCAGGTTTCACCTTGCTGAGGCGGATTCTGGACGAAACGCCAAACATAGCCACAACAGACTCAGAAAAGTAAGCAAACATAGTAAACAAAAATCGTCCCCACACTGTATTTTGACTATTTGTGAATATCCCTCCTGTAGAGGGTCACGCCCGACCTAAGTGTACGTTCTGCCTATCCTGTGCTCTTCCTTCCGGCTGGGGAGGGGCTCCTGATGGGGCCCCGGCCGGGGAAGGAGTAGCGTCGTTGGGGAGAGCGCGGGGCCGGGGGGCCAGGTCGAGAGGGGTCGGAGGGCCCACGGGACCCGTCACCATGGGCCGAAACGGTGGTGCTGGTTCTGGGCTGCGCTGCAGCGCTTGCTAACCTGAAAAGCTTCCGAACGCACGCGCAGAACCGCCACCCGACGGGGTATAAACCATGAAGACGGCAGCACAAATCGATATGTTGTTGACCTCTCTCACTCCCTCCCGTCATTCCTGCACCGTTCCCTCCGGCATGAGCTTCGACTCTGGCATCCACGCGCTGCTCCTTGACTTGAACGGGCGTCATCAATCATCAACATCGGAGCCGCACCGCCGCCGATCGCACACGCTCCGCCTCTCCTGCTCCTCCCTCCTCGTCCTCCCGTTCTCAATCTCCCCCTCGGTTTCCGCACAGGTCCCAAGCCTTCAGGGACGAAAGAAATCATTGTATTTAAGCTTACTCCTGCCCTTTCTCCGGCCACCACGTTGCCATCGCTCGGACGTCCGCTTCCAATGTATGCTTCTACTTCTGGCCTTTTTTTTTCTCTCCAAAAATGGACCACGATGATCCTCTCGCCGAGGAAAGAAGGCACCCGCCCGAGCGATGCCAAGCCACTGGCACCGAACCCCCGACCCTGCTCCTATCGGGCCGGGCGAAAGGGGGGGATAGCCAAGGGAGGGTTTGATATTCAGCTCACGTAGCTGATTTTCCCGGCGCCTCCCGGCGCCGGAAGGCGCCCATGTATCGAGGAATGGGCCCGGCGGCGGGGCCGAAACCAGCTGCATGCAGCAGATTTCGTACCCCCCCCCCTTTCCCTATCCCCCCCCCCCTCGTCCGTTTCCCGTGTGTGTGTGTGTGCTTTCTACCTCTGGCGTGCTTTTTGTTGTTTGTTTCTCTTCTTCTTCTTCGAGAGTGGGTCACGATGATCCTCAGCGGTCCTCGCCGAGGAAAGAAGGCGTGCTTTTTGTTGTTTGTTTCTCTTCTTCTTCGAGAGTGGGCCACGATGATCCTCAGCGGTCTTCGCCGAGGAAAGAAGGCGTGCTTCTTGTTGTTTGTTTCTCTTCTTCTTCTTCGAGAGAGTGGGCCACGATGATCCTCGGCGGTCCTCGCCGAGGAAAGGAGGCGCCCGCCCGAGCGATGCCAAGCCAGTGGCACCGAGCCCCCCGACCCTGCTCCTAGATCCCAGGGCTTCTGTCGGGCGCGTCCCCCTACAGGGGATTGTCAACGAAACATAAAGAATACCCCCAAAGGTACCCCCGGACTACCCCCAGAAATACCCCCGAAAATACCGCCGAGAATGCCCCGGGGCATAAAACGCACCCCCAAAAATACCCACAATAATACCCCCAAAAATACCCCCTACAGGGGATTCTCAACGAAACATAAAGAATACCCCCAGACTGCCCCCAAAAAGACAACAAATATGCAAAAAAGGGTCCCCAGACTATTCCTGGTCTATGTTTTGATCATTCTTGGGGTATGTTTTTATCTGTCGTCGGAAATCCCCCTGTATTAAGCAGGGACCGGCCGTCCCGGCATTCCTATAGTCCTACCACGAAAAGTTCGTAGAACCCCTAAAATGTTCTAAGAACAAAAACAATGTTCCTAGAACATAAACCCGATGTGTTAACACAAGAGAGTCCCAACCAGACATATTCTAAGAACATTTCGTGGGAACCACAAGAGGCTCTTAGAACACTGTTTGGTGGGGCTATAGGCACGCCGGGACGCGTCGCCACTGCTTGACCTGTAGGGGGACAGGCCCGACTTAGCACTTGATGACCGGCAGCGCCAAAAGGACGCAAACGCGACCGCAGAGCCGGCGGGCCGCGCCGGGCACCTGGGCGCACCCGGAGCGGGCGGACGAGCAGGGACTGCCGCGGAGGAGGGCAGGGAAAGGAGACCCGAGCCGCCGAGAGTCGAGGAGCGCGCACACACGCACACACACACACACACACACACAATCACACACACACACACACACACCCAGGCCGGCCAGAGTGCACATCGCTGCGCGTGGGCCACGGCCCCAGGGCCAACCCTCTCCCCACAGGCGGCGGTGCCGCAGACTGCCGCCGTGCCCACGTCGGCCCTGGCTCCTGCCAGCGGGTGAGAAGCCGCTGCGGCCGCGCTCCTCCTCGTCGACAAACGTCGTCGTCGTCCTCCTCCTCCTCGTCCTCCTCCTCCTCCTCCTCCTCCTCGTCCTCGTCGTGCCCGTCCTCGTCGTGCCCGTCCTCGCCGTCCCCGTCCTCGGCCTCGTCCTCCTCCTCGTCCTCCTCGTCCCCAGCCTCCTCGTCCCCGTCCTCAGCCTCCTCGTCCTCTTCGTCCTCCTCGTCGGGGACGGCGGCACTGGCCGTGAGGCCTCTCCGATACTGCCGCGGCCACGTCGGCCCCATGGCCTGTGGCGTCTGCCGGCGGGTGCACCGCTGCGACCGCGAACAGACCGGACACGACCTCCGCTCTCGAAGGCCCCCCTGGAGGGTTCTGGGGCCGACCTTTCCGCCTCCGCGCGGCGCTGTCGCGTCGTCTCTTCGTCGTCGCCTCGCCTTCTCTCGCCACAGGGCTCCTCCCGGACGGTCAACAAGTGAGGTTTCCGGAGCCCACAGCGGGCCGGGCGGAAACGCCCAAAAGTGCAACGTCACGCAGATGAAGGGGCCCTGGGGCACACCCTCAATCTACACAGAAATATCAGGATTCCCCACATGTTCTAATATGTTCGGGGTTTTGTCTCCCCCCCCACTTCCCATATTTTCCCATATTTTCCTGGGAGAAGACGATTAATTGTGTCTGTGTGTGTGTGTCTGTGTGTGTGTGTGTCTGTGTGTCTGTGTTTTTGTTGCCTCCTGAACAGAGTCACCACCAGAGCCCCAGGTCCCATATTTATTAGGGGAACAAAAAGTGGCATAAACATAAAAACTCGGAGGTCCGCGCGGATTTCTCGGATCGGCGCTGGACCCCCCTCCCTGGCGCGCGGAGCGCGTCAGGGGCGGCGCCGGAGGCGCCGCCGGGGGGCCCCAGCGCCGATCCGAGAAATCCGCGCGGACCTCCGAGTTTTTATGTTTATGTCACTTTTTGTTCCCCTTTTGAGAGGTCTCCCGAATGCTCCGGAGGCTTCTGGAGCTCCCAAGGATCGGCGCTGGGGCCCACCGGCGGCGCCTCCGGCGCGGCCCCTGGCGCGCTCCGCGCGCCAAGGAGGGGGCCCCAGCGCCGATCCGAGAAATCCGCGCGGACCTCCGAGCTTTTATGTTTATGCCACTTCCTGTTCCCCCATTTATGCGTCACCCTTCGAGCAGCGGATCGACCTGTGAGGGCTCCGAGGCCCGAGGCGGGCCCGAGGCGGAGACGCCCGCCGCGTCGAGGGCTGCAGCGCGCCAGGGTCTCGGGGCGCGCCCCTGGCGGCTGCCTCAACACATCGTCCCCAGACTATTGTTTGACTATTTGTCGAATATTCCTCCTGTAGAGGGGCACGCCCGACTTGATCCTTTGTGCGGTCGGCGCACATGGGGTCCGAGGATCGCCGATGCATCGCCGATGCACTGGCGAAGCAGTGGCGACGTCGGCGCCGTCGGCCTGGAGAGAAGCGGTCTCCACATCGCCGATGCAGGACGCGCCCCCCCCCCCCCCCTCTCCCTCCTCCTCCTCCTCCTCCTCCTCCTCCTCCTCCTCCTCCTCCTCCTCCTCCTCCTCCTCCTCCTCCTCCTCCTCACCCTCCTTCCTCCTGCCTCCTCCTCCTCATCCTCCTCCTCCTCCTCCTCCTCCTCTCCTCCTCCTCCTCCTCCTCCTGCCTCCTCCTCCTCCTCCTCCTCCTCCTCCTCCTCCTCCTCCTCCTGTCGACACGACGCGGCCGCATCGCCGATGCATCGCCGACGCGGCGCGATCCTCCGACGACGTCTGCTCGGGCCCCGTCGAGGAGGCCAAGACAGGGGCGGCGCGCCCCTCGCCCGCACGCCACGGGCGGGCAGGCGAGGCGAGCCGCAGCGCAGGCGGTGCCCTTCGGAGGCGCCCCCCCCTCGCCCCTGCATAGCTGGGCCCCGCGCTGCTCGTCGTCGGCAGCGCCAGCGTGGCCTCGCTCGGGTGCGCGGCCGGACAGGGCCAAGCAAAGCTGGGAGTGATCCACCCACAGCGGACCCCTAAGCCCGTGGGAGGGGAGCGAAGTTGGGAGGGCCAAAAACATGTGGGAGGTTTTCTTTTGTGCAAGAATCGTCCCCAGACTGTATTTTTACTATTTCTGAATATTCCTCCTGTAGAGGGACACGCCCGACGTAAGCCTTGGGACTTCCGAGCCTTCTGAGAAGGCTTAAGTCGGGCCTGTCGCCCTACAAGGGGATTTTCGACGAAAAATAAACAATACCCCAACAATGGTCAAACATAATCCCGAACTAGTTCGGGAACTATGTTTCGAGTACTTTTTGACCTTCTTGGGGGCATTTTTTGGTGTTTTATTTTTCGTTGAAAATCCCCCTGTAGGGGGACACGCCCGACATAAGAGAAGGCCCGCCCCTTCTCGCCTCCACACAGGAGGGCCTCGCCGCCGACCTCGCGCGGGGCCGCAGCTGGCACCGAGCTGGCACCAGGCCGACGCCGGCGGAGGAGGCGCAAGACGACCAGAGGAGGAGGAGGAGGAGGAGGAGGAGGAGGAGGATGAGGAGGATGAGGAGGAGGAGGAGGAGGAGGAGGAGGAGGAGGAGGAGGAGGAGGAGGAGGAGGAGGAGGAGGAGGAGGAGGAGGAGGAGGACGAGGAGGAGGAGGAGAGGAGGCAGAGGTCTGGGGAAGGAGGCTGGCCGAGAGCGCCGCGAGGAGCTTCGCGCGGGACCCACACCCTGAGGGGCGGCCGCCGGGGGGCCGCAGGGAGCTGCCCGACGTGGTCCACGCGCGACGACAGAGGGAAGCGACGCCTTCCGGCTCCGGAGGACAGCGCTGAACTCGGGGGGAAACAAACCTACCTCGCTTTTGACCACCCTCGCTTCCAAGAGATACCAAGCGATGCCAAACTACGGCCTGTACTGGTCAGGCCGCTTGACGAGGAGGCACGTGGTAAGACTTGGTTTTTCCTGGAAGCGAAAGCGGGGTAGGTAATTCACGCTCTGATGAACATCGACCCCCGCGTGCAGCGTGCCGACGCCGCTTCCGCGAGACGAGGCAGCCGATCGCTGTCCTTCGTCAAGCCTCGGCTGGCCATCGCTCGGACGTCCATTTCCTGTGCTTTTTTCGGTTTCGTGTGCTTTTTTCGCCAAATGATCAAGGATGCTCCTCGATGGTCCTCGCCGAAGGAAAAATGCACACGTCCGAGCGATGCCAAGCCCCCGCGTGCAGCGTGCCAACGCCGCTTCCGCGAGACGAAGCAGCCGCGCGCTGTCCTTCGTCGAGCCTCGGCGGCGAGGCCACCTCCAGGGGCCCGCCCCTGGAGGTGGCCGAGGCCGAGTGCCGATCGGACCTCCGACGCGCAAGCAATAAGTGTGCGTGTGTGTGTGTGTGTGCGTGTGCGTGTGTGTGTGCGTGTGTGTGTGTGTGTGTGTTTTTGTGTGTGTGTGTGTGTGTCTTTGTGTTGTTTGTGCGGATTAGGGCGCGCCGCGCTGGTCTTCGTGGATGTGTGTGTGTGGGTTTGTGTGTGTGCGTGGGTGAGGGCGCGTGGGTCTGCGAGTGTGAGTGAAGCGTGTACGCGTGTGTTTGTAACGAGGAGGGCCTGGGTGTGTGCGTGCGTGGTTTTGCATGCGTGCACGCATGTGTGTGCGCGCGTTTGTGTGTGTGTGTGTGTTTTGTGTTTGTGTGTGGTGCGTGGCGTTGTGCATGTGTGTATGTGTGCGGCGTGTGTGTGTGTGTTTGTGTGTCTGTGTGTGTACGTCGGGGCACCTTCCCGGGGTCTACCCCTCCCTCCACGGTCCGCCAGAGCTATGCTGCTGGAGAACTGCGCCGCCTGCCACAGCCGCCCATCGTGAGTTTTTGTTTTCGGCTCGACGGGGCCGTGGGTACGATAGGTCACCTTCGAATCGGGAATATTCGATGGGTTCGGAATGTGTATCGAATCGAGCCGCATGGCAGGAGAGCCCAGAATCGAATCGATAAATCAGATCGGCGATCGAAATGAATCGGATCGGCAGGAATCGGCAGCCAAATCGGGACAAGTCGAATCGGCGGACATCTGCAGACTATTCCACTCCAGTGAGAAATCGGAGCCCAAACCGGAATCCCAAGTCGAATCGAATCGGAATCGGAAACCATCGAAATCACATCGAATCGAATAGGAAGAACGGGAACTGACCCCGCCCGGGGCATGGAATCGGCATCGAACCGGATCGGCCAAAACTCGAAACAGGCCCGACTTCAATCGAAACGGACCCTCCGTATCGAAATGGACCCTGCTGGGGGGTCGCCCTTCCTGGCTCGGAAGCCGGGCAAGGGCTGCTAAATCTGTGGCTGCTAAAATCGACCTCCAGGAAGTTGTCTTCGTCCTTCCGGGAAGAAGCCCGTTGACTGTGTCGCGTGCCGCGCCTCATTCCGGGAAGTTGTTTTTTCCTTCCGGGAGGGCCGTTTTAGCAGCCACGCTTTTAGCAGCCCTCGCCCAGCTTCCGACTGGCGGCCCCCGAGAGGGGGGCAGCAGAGGCGCGAGGGGGGGCCTGCTCCGGGGGCGCCTCCACCTGCACGAGCAGCGCGTCGGGCGGCCTGGCGGGGAGTGTGCGACGGCGGGCTGGCGGTCCCAGAAGGCCCGGAGCTCTCCGGCGTCTTGCACTGGCGGCGCGCACAGGGGGGTAGGGGGAGGGGGGGAGGCTTCTTAGAAGGAGGCTGCTTCTGAGAAGGCGCCGGCCCTGCACCTACAGAAGAGGCCCGCGCCTTCTCGGAAGCAGGGGTGCTCCTAAGAAGCCTTGCCCCCTTCCCCTACCACCCCCTGCGCTTGGCCGGTTGCAAGCGCTCGACATCTGATCCCTGCCCCTGCTCGCGCCCCGACACAGCGAGGGGGCAGGGCGGCGGCATGGGTATCAAATTCTGGCCTCCTGCTCCTCCTCCTCCTCCTCCTCGTCCTCCTCCTCCTACTCCTCCTCCTCCTCCTTCCCATCCTCCTCCTCCTCCTTCTCCTCCTCCTCCTCCTCTCCTTCCTCCTCCTCCTCCTCTTCCTCCCCCTCCAAGGCCACGTTTGTTTTTTACACATGCCTTGCCTCCCCCGGCGCCGTGCGGGGGGCAGCACACCTGACCCTCCAGAGTGCAAACTAAAACACTCCAGACCTATGGATCTATCCCTTGAGCAGGGACCGGCCGTCCCGGCATTCCTACAGGCCTGCCACGAGATCTTCTTAGAACCCAGAAATGTCCTAAGAGCCAAAACCATGTTCTGAGAACATAGCCCCGATGTGTTAAAACACGAAAGTCCCAGCCAGAAATGTCCTAAGAACATTTCGTGGAA